GCAGCTTCTTACTGCTGCCTGAACGGCTTCCTCAGTTGGGGGAAGACTAGCTGTTTCCCCATCAGCTGCCTTGTCCTGAGTCACTGCCAGGTCAATGAAGGTGTGTCCCTTGGCATCCTGCTTGGTGGCCAGCACTGCAGACCAAATCCTCTCTGACTTCTCCAGCCACTGGAGCCCTGTTTCAGGCCGTCTGGCCTGGATGAGGCTGGATCCTGGCTGCCTGCCCGGGCGCATGTGGATCTCGTGCCCCCTGAGCAACAGCAGGACCCAGGCTTCAGTTGCTCCATCTGTCAAATGGGGCTCAAGTCAGCCTCCAGCCACAGAGGTCCCGGGACAGGCAGGAAGAACCACTGCAGCTCCAGCCAGGGAACGCCGCAAGCAGGAGGGCGGTGGGGTTGGGGTGGGCCCTCCTTGAGTCCTGCCCCGTCACCTGGCATTCTCTAACCCTCACCCCCCTGGAGCCACAGGAACCGTGTTGTGCAGATTAGGGACAGAAGTAAAGACCCTGAGATCACACAGCTGCAGGCGTGGGACACCAGAGCCCCTGGCCCCTACTTGTTCCCAGGAAACCACGATTTTTCAAGGGCTTTTCAGATCTATGGGGATTTTGTCCCCAGTACCCAGACCTCAGGTGGGAGCAGGTTCTGGGCTCACGCTCCCCAGTCGAGGCCCCGGAGGTGCTTTTCCAGAGCTGGATGTTGTGGGTCCTCCTTTTCTCCTTCCTGGACCTCCTTTGTCATTCTTCCTCTGTGGGTCCCATTAAGAAAAGGTTTCACCCACCAAATATATTGCAAGTGGCAATCAAAGACGAGCTCCTTTGCCATTTTGTGCCAATCAGAGACACAGAACGCCAGCCAAATGAAAGCTCGGGACAGCCTGCTGTATGTTTCCTGTGGCAGCTTATAACAGGACCACACAGTGGGCAGCTTAATCAACAGAAACGTATTATCTCAGTTCTGAAGGCTGAAGTCCAAGGTCGCGGTGTCAGCAGGGTTGGTTTCTTCTGAGGCTGTGAGGATCCGGCCTCTCTCCCAGCTACCGGTGGCTCAGCAGTCCTTGGGGTTCCATCACCCCCGCTCTGCCTCTGTGCTCATATGGAGCTCTCTGCGTGTCTCTGTATCTCTGCATCACTGTTTTCAGGCTTCCCTCGTACAAGGCCACTGTCTTTGGACTAGGGCCCTCCGTAATCTAGTGCGACTTCGACCACATCTGCAGGGACCCTGTTCCCAAACAAGATCACAGTCACAGGCACCACGAGTTTGGACTTGGACTCATCTTTTGGGAGGACAGAAGTCAACCTGGCACACCTGAGTTCTCATTTCACGTGATGTTTGGCTCTGGCTTTCTGCCCTGCCAGAGGAAAATGCACAACTCTGTGAGGTTTCTGGGAAGGTGGAAAGGAGCTCAGGGACCCCATGCCTCCACCTAGGGACCCTGGTAGGCCTGCCATGCTGGTGCTGGGGGCATGCGAATCACAGCGAACAAAGCCAGGGTCTATGGCTGTGTGATCTGTGGCCAACATCAGGGACCAGAACCTCTCCCCTTTAGGGATGGAGAATGTGACCTCCCTTCGCCTGCCTGGCTGTTATTCCCCGCTGGGTGGTGTCTGTGAATTACCCGGAAAGTGGAAACCACAGCATCGCAAAGGCCTTTTTCCCCACATATCCCTTTCTCATCTGCTTGTGGGAGGGTCCACTGGGGCCCACTGGACTTATCACAGGAAAACAGGTGCGTCAGGGCAGTCAGATGAGCAGATGGACGGTCCTCTTGGGAAGCCACTGCCCAGAGCTGTCCCTGCCTGCAAGAGTCTAGCC